TTGAAATGCCCTTAGAAATTTAATTAACAATGGCAAGGAACAAAACAACAAGTTCCCCAGCAGCATAAATACTTCTGGCAATAGCAAACATTTACCTATCCTTCTCAGAGCTAGTAGGAGAGGATCAAGGAAGCCTTTAAGAGCGAAGAATTCCATAACTAAGGCACCCCCTCCAAGATTGTTTCTATTTTCCTATTTAGAAATGCTGAAATGCAAATTCTATTCAGGTATTTGGCAAGCTGTATTGCAAGTCAAAGCAGTGTTATTCTGCATTACCTTTGGGATTTTGATTTTCAAATACTGCTGCAGGAAATCCAGGAAAAGGTGGGATTGTTTATAGTAGCAATCTCAGCAATTTTAAAATACATAGGCTTCAACTTCCAGACATTCCCAGCCAGAAAGCCAGTTTGAAGTTTGCATCTCTTAATTAGAGTTTCTGAGATTAGAAACACTGGTTTATAGAAAAAAATCAGAAATCCATCAGTGAAAACTGTGACAAAGAAATATGGCTTGTATACTGTTTTTAGCCTTTTCATTGTTGTTATTAAACACATGGTCAGTGGTGTTTCAAAAGATTGGTAGATCTGCCTGTCAAAACCAAAATCAAAGCAAAATCAAATAAAAACCAAACCAAATGAAATCCAAAGCAAAACAAAGCAAAATCAAACCTTACCAAATCAAGCCAAGATAAAACAAAAGACAAGACGATGGACATGTGCAGATCTGTACATTGCAGATCTGTACATTGGGGAAACAAAACAACCACTTCATATACGCATGGCACAACATAGGAGAACAAACCTATCAGGAGAAGAGTCAGCAATCCATCTGCATTTAAAAAACAAAGGCCACTCTTTCGAAGCCAGCAAAGTCCACATTTTGGACAGAGAGGACCTCTCATTTGAAAGAGGGGTCAAAGAGGCCATCTATGTCAAAATTGAACAGCCTTCTCTCAAAGAGGGGGAAGGATACAATATCATCTATCTCCAGTCTACAACAGTCCTTTCAGCAGTTCGAAGAAGGCTCCACACCCATTTGCACTACTCAGGTGACCTTGAGGACACAGATAAACCTCCAAGTGGCCTCAACGACTCTCTAAAAGAATGCAAATGACCAGCTGTCTGCAAGGAATATAACTCCTTCCATTCCCCACCATCCAGTCAGAGCTGAAGAAGCTTCTTGGATGAGAAACGAAACATCTTCAAAGAAAAACAAGAAAGTCCAGTTGCCTCTTGAAAAAGCACCTTTGGGACAACCATGACCTGGATGACTGAGAATCTCCATAAACTGTAAATGAGTCCATCCACCTGGCTGCTGGCTGGGGAATTCTGGGAGTTGAAGTCCACACACCATAAAGTTGCCAAAATTGAGAAGCACTGCTTTAATGAGATATTAGAGATTTGAACTTTGCTCGCATTCTGACTGCTTAATTCTTCTGTTCTTCTTTCTCCTAATACCTTGAATAGCTGCTGCAGCAGCGAAAGCAGCCGCCAAAGCAGCCAAATATGGTGAGTTTGGTCTGCATCCATCCTTACTTAAGCTAGCTTTTCTTGGGAAATATAATTTTCTCTCTTTGTAATCCATTTAACAAAAGGCTCTGCACCTTTTCAGAATAAATGCCAAATTGACAAGATCAATTATGAGTTCCTCTATTCCACAATGCCATTTCTGAGTTGGGCCAAGGGCAGAAATTAGGAATTTATTTTGATACCCTATATAGGGAAAGTGCACACCTTAAGGCTATTAGGGCTGCATGTGGCTTCTGAAAGCTTTGAATGGGGTTCTCAGAACCATCTAAAATTTGCACCTGAATTATCACTTTTGGAAGTGACTGGCAGGGAACATTATTAATTGTGATGGTAATTAATTTATGTTATCTTATTGAAATTAAATATTAATTTAATTTAATTTTTGCATGGAGTCACTCCTTTGTACATCTTGCCCTTGAGTATCTTAGGATTGGGGTAGCTGCGTCACTTCAATCAGAAAGGTTCTTGTTGGTCACTATTTTATTGGCGGGGAATGAGGTAGGAAAACTTGGCTTGCACAAGCACCAAACCAACTGATAATGACAGTGTCAAGTGACAGCCTGTCTGGGTCAGAAGGAGATGAGGCAACACAAAGAAAACTTTCAGATATATGATTGCATAAAAAGCACGGCTTTTTAACACAGTATCGGTATTCATGTATGAATCAGTTACACAGAGGGATAAAGCACAAAGAAATTAAAAGCAAGAGCAAAGGGGAGATGCTGCCATTTTAGGATTTCTTAAAAACACTCCTTATTAAGCTGGAATATAACAGGAGTAGAACACCTATGTCAGGCATGTCAAACTCGCAACGTCATGTGACATCGCGCGACATATCGGGACTTTTTCCCCATTGCCGGCAATGGGGTGGGCGCAGTTTCGGCGTGACGCATCCGGCCTATGGGCCAGCAGTTTGACATGCCTGACCTATGTGAAACTATCTAAACCTAACAGTGGAGATGAAAAGCCAGAATGGGAAACATTTGATCTTGTCTTTTTTCTTTTCCTCTTATTTAATATTGTCTGTACCTCAATTAAAAAAAAATCAAACTCATTATACGTGGTACAACAGGTATCGGGCCAGGAGGTGGCGTTCTTCCTAGAGGTGGCGTCCTTCCTGGAGGTGGCGTCCTTCCTGGAGGTGGTGTCCTTCCTGGAGGTGGCGTTATACCTGGAGGTGGCGTCCTTCCTGGAGGTGGCGTTATACCTGGAGGTGGCGTCCTTCCTGGAGGTGGCGTCCTTCCTGGAGGTGGTGTCGTACCTGGAGGTGGCGTCGTACCTGGGGGCAGACTTCCTGGTGCAGGTCTGTGCTTCATTGAGTACAGGTTGTCCTTAACTTATAGCAATAGCACTTAGACTTATATACTGCTTCACAGTGCGGCTTTACAGCCCTCTCTAAGTGGTTTATGGAGTCAGCATATGGCCCCCAGCAATCTGGGTCTTCATTTTATGACCTTGGAAGGATGGAAGGCTGAGTCCACCTTGAGCTGGTCAGAATCGAACTCCTAGCAGTCGGCAGTCAGCATGCAATACTGCATTCTAACCACTGTGCCACCGTGGCTCTGACCACAATTGGGATTGGAATTTCAGTGACTGAGTGATGCAGTTATTAAATATCATCATTTAACCCAAGTTTATGACCATTTTTATCATGGTTCTTAAGCGAACGACAAAGTCATTAAGTGAACGACAAGGTCATTAAGCAAATCTGGCTTCCCCAATTGACTTTGCTTGTCAGAAGCTGTTTGAAAAGTTCACAGCAGGATAACGTGATCACAAGACGCTGCAACTATTGGAAATTTGAGTCAGTTGCCACACACCCAAATTGTAATTATGTGAATGCAGGAATAGTGGAAAAATCATAACTTTGAGAATGGGTTGTAAGTCACTTTTTCCTAGACCAGTGATGGCAAACCTTTTAGAGACCGAGTGCCCAAACTGCAACCCCAAACCCACTTATGCATCGTCGGGTGCCGGGTGGGCGTGGCCCATTGGGTGGGCATGGCTGCGGTAACGGCAGACTGGGTGGGACTTAAAAGTTCGATCGATCAATTCCAACTTTGCAAGATCTTTTTTTTCCCTGCGAGAAGTTGAAATTGACTGATTGAACCTTTTTTTTTGTACACGGCGGCGGAGGCCTAAAGCAAAAAGGTTTTATAAAACCCAGCTGAAGACCTAGGACTGGGGCAACGGCACGGGTGCCCAAAGAGAGGGCTCTGAGTGCCACCTCTGGCACCCGTGCCATAGGTTCGCCACCACTGTCCTAGACCATTGCAACTTTGAATCATTGTTAAAAAAATGGTTGTAAATCAAGGACTACCTGTAATCCTCAGATTTTCCTGAGACAGGAGTAATTTCCTAGAGAATCAGTCCAGTTCACAATTTCCCATTTTGACAGGCGAAAATTATCTCTGGTAAAGGGTTCTGATGGGAATTATTTCCTCTTATCTCACAGGCATTCCCATAATTGGAGGACAAACAGGAGTCAAACCACCTAAATACGGTATCTCTGCAGAATGAAAAAAAAATGCTTGTAATTCATCATGTTAACTCCTCGAAATAGGTACAGACCAATATGTCTATGAAAGGAAGAGAAAGTGAAAGAGAGAAAAAGAGAGAGAATGAGAGGGAGGGAGGAAGGGAGAGAGCACAAAAGAAAAAAAAATCAGCTCAGAACAGGAAAAACAACCTTTTGCGAGTGAGTGGCACATTTAGCTTTGAGAAGGCCAAGGAGCATAATGGGTGAGAGGATGATGCAAAATAAATGGGGTTTGTTTTTTTTTGCTGTTACTCAGAACTAGATTAGAATAAAGTTACTTTTGGTTTATGCAATTTCTGCATACATTAACTGCATAGGACTGATCCAAAATGGCACTTCTTAGCCACCAACATATTCATCTGGATACATTCTAGCAGGAAGCTGTCCTGCTCAGGCCCTACCAAAACAAATGGAAGCCATTAACAGTGATCCCTTCTGTTCTTGCACACCTTTTTGTCCCCTTGTGTATCTGGAGGCAACTCTCCTGACCCAAAAGGCCAAAAGCTTTGCCTTCCCAAATGGTTGCTGTCTGATTTCTTGTACTGGCTCAGAACAACCATTAGGACAGAGTTTCTCATCTTGGCAACTTTAAGCTGTATGGACTTCAACTCCCAGAATTCCCCAGCCAGGGCTCCCAGAGAATTCTGGGAGTTGAAGTCTACACAGCTTAAAGTTGCCACAGTTAAGAAAAACTGCATTAGGGAAAGCAAGCTCTAGACAAAACATCTCTTGAGTGAAAAAAATGGAAAAGTATTGCCGTGGATTCACCATTGAGACTTGCTCCCCGTCTTTGACAGGTATCCCAGGTACTGGATTGGGTGGAACTGGCGTGGCAGGTAAGATGGTTGTCCAGAGTATGGAACTGCTGGAACTGACTTGGGTATTATGGCTCAGTCTTTAGCTATAGGGGCTGAGCCTGGATTCTTCCTGACACCAGAATATGCAGAGTTGTCTTAATACGAGAAAAGGATGCAACACAATATGTTTGGCAGGTTGTGATGAATGAAAGCAGTTAGGCTCTGTCACACAGATTCTGTTGCTATAAACTTGAAGAATGTTCTCTAGCCCAGCTGAGCTGTCAGCCAACTGACCTGCAAGGCCCAATGTTGTTCCCCAGGCCACATCAAACTGTCCTGGAAGTTTGCTCTTTAATTGGAGGATCAGATTCCCAGAATAGAGGCAGTGCCAAATGTCCTGCTTTGGTTCTCAAATGGCCACCATGAATGTTGATCATCTCCCTGACTTTGACTTCATCTTCTCCTATTGGGATTGCCAACATTTCTGTCCATACCATTAGTTACCTGTTCTTTCTTAGACTAACCAGTAACTCTACTCAGATCTCCGAAAATGGATCATCCAAATGGATCCCATAGGTCCTCTTAGAACAGTTGGCCCAGTACTCTGCTATCTAAATTAGGATTAGCCAAGGCCAAAAGAGGCCTCTCTTAGATGTGCTTGAACGGTAAACTGGGTTTTAGGATGTTCAGGACTAGCAACAATTGGGTAGGGCATGTTCAGGATTTCTATAGGGCTTTGATAATTATCATTTCACACCATTAGCTTCTAATGTTATGCTGACCACAGAAGGCCCTAGCCCAGAACTCTTTGATATTTTGGACTACAGCATTCACATGTCCTTGCTATTGGCTCTGCTGGAAGGAATACATGGGAATTTAAATCCAAATCATCTGAAGGGTCAGGAAAATTTCTGCCTTTTATATTATTAGTACTGTAGCCTCTAGTGGGCTTCTTCAACTCATATTAATACTAAACAGATTAATTAATTCAGGTCTGGATTAATTCGCCAAGATTTAAACCAAGTGTTTGGCAATTCTTAATGTAACTTAAATTCACTATCCTTAAAAAAATTAGCATTAATTCTCTTCAAGATCCTTCCTGGTAGATTCAAGTGCAATCAGTCCAAAAGACAAATATTCCCTATTGCATTTCAACTTGATATATGGCAGTGGTGGTGAACCTATGGCACGGGTGCCAGAGGCGGCACTCAGAGCCCTCTCTGTGGGCACATGCACCATCGCCCCAGTCCTAGGCCTTCAGCTGGGTTTTATAAAACCTTTTCGCTTTAGGCCTCCACTGCCATGTGCAAAAAAAAAAAAAAAGTTCAATCAGTCAATTTCAACTTCTTGCGGGAAAGAAAAAGATCTTGCAAAGTTGGAATTGATTGATTGAGCTTTTTAGTCCCACCCAGTCTGCCGTTACCACTGCAGCCACGCCCACCCAATGGGCCACGCCCGCCCAATTGGCCACACCCAGCCAATGGGCCACAGCCACCCGGCACTCGACGATGCATAAGTGGGTTTTGGGTTGAAGTTTGGGCACTCGGTCTCTAAAAGGTTCGCCATCACTGATATATGATTTGTTTCTGATGGAGATGTTTTTTAAAAAAACCCAACAGGCATTGGAGGAGGATACGGAGTCCCTGGACTGGGAGGAACCGGTTACGGAGGTGGTGCCGGAACTGGAGGTCTGATCCGCAGTGGGCAAAGATGCTTCTGATGGGATGTAGGGGGAGGGCAATTCAGGATGGGAACTATAGCCACTTCTGTGTCATCCTGAAACCCAGTGAAATCTTTTCAAAGCCGGAAATGTGAGAATGCACCTGTTAAACTTGGTCCACCATTTTTTTAAAAAAATAAATAAATAGGGATTTGTAGAAATACTCTAGAGATCAGTGTTTCTCAACCTTGATCATTTTAAACTTCAACTCCCAGAATTCCCCAGCTAGCATGCCCTATATTTTAAATACTGCTATCAATTTTAGTCATTGTAAGCTTAGATCTATCCTTGAGCAATTTCAAACTTTGCTCCTTGCAATGCAAAATAGAAGAATATTCATTCATGATGTAGGAAGGAAACCTGAGTGACCACAACAGGCTATAAATTTTTCCCCTTCAAAATACCTTAACCCTAATGCACCAATACAACCTTCAAAATTTTCTTAAAAAAAAAAAAAAAAGTCCAGTTCTTACTGATTATATCCATGCAGTTTTCTTAGCAGTATAGTAAAATGGTTTTGCCAGCCTTCTCTAGGGCTGCTTTTTAAAAAAATAATAATAATTCCAGTCTAGCGACTTTGGTATTAACAAGTAATTGCCATCCACATACTAACCAGCTTCCAAGATCAGTCAAATCAGAATTGGTTTACAACCAGCTAAAATAATTACAAAAATTCTATTAAGCAAATGAGGGAGGTATCTTTCTCCCTATCACCTTTCAGCCTTATTACACTCATAGGTAGAGCTCACCTCTGCCTCCAGCCTCAAGTGACAATATCTTTATTTATTTAACATATTTCTATGATGCTGCAATCCTAAAAGACTCTCGGAGGCTTAAATAGAACACATTCAGACTACAAACATCTGGGATAGAATAAAACAACTACAAACATGATAAAACTAAATATCAGAATAACAGAGTTGGAAGGGATCTTGGAGGTCTTCTAGTCCAACCCCCTGCTCAAGCAGAACTCTGTCTGTCCACTCTCTTAAAAGCTTCCAGTGATGGAGCACCCACAACTTCTGAAAGCAAGCCATTCCATTGATTAATTGTTCTGTCAGGAAATTTCTCCTTATTTCTAGGTCATTCTCTCTTTGATTAGTTTCCATCCATTGCTTCTTGTCCTGCCCTCAGGTGCTTTGGAGAATAACTTGACTCCCTCTTCTTTGTGGCAATCCCTGAGATATTGGAACACTGCTATCATGTCCCCACTAGTCCTTCTTTTCATTAAACTACTAGACATACCCAATTCATGCAACTGTTCTTGATATGTTTTAGCCTCCAAATAGCATAAATAGAAATAAAGATGGCAAAGTTCAGATCAAGGGAAAGTTTTCTGAAACAATTCAATTTTTAAAAGCTTCCAAAGCAGCACTGCCTTGCT